AAAAGACAGATAAGGCCAAATCTGGATGAAATTCCTGATTTTTGCCACCCAAAAAAATAAAATCTAAAAATAATCGACAATCAAAGGAAATTGACTTCAATTATGGTTCTGATATGTTGATCCAAGAAGACCGTGACTGCGTGATGAGTAAACTGATGGTACAATTTTAATACGTAGAGTCTACAACTTTCAGTGTTGAGTCACGTCCTTCTTTTCTTCGAATGAAAATAGTTTTTTTCATTTTATTTCATTCATTTTATTTATTTGCAAGCAAATCTAAAAATTCCATTATTATTCACTTCTACGTATCGAAAGTTTTAAAGCATTTCTCTCTTCACATGTCGATAAACAGAGCAATATAAACTGCATATAAGTTCATGAAATGCTGCATCAAAAACTTGGCTTCATTTCCTCTGCCCATAATGACGTAATCGGTGAATAATTCATATATTCGGCAATGGTACAAGGTCGACAAGCGGCCTCGAGCATCAACCGTTACATTGACTTCGATTTTCTAATCAAATTTTCCAATCTCCTAGCGAATTCTTTTCCATTCAAATCGAAAAAAAAAGTGTAGGCCAATCGACACCGGCTCATCGTAAATTCCATGCAGAATTGGAGTGTTTCACGTAGCCAAAGGAAAGTAGATATCTGCAATGGTCGAATTTAAAATGAAAAATGTCTTTTGAATAAATGCATAAATCACATCGTTGCAACAAAAAATGCATTTGCCTAGCGAGAGAAAGACACAAAATGTGGCGATTAAATGCAATTCCAGCAATTGAAATGCATGAAATAAAATGTGTGTTAAAGCAAAAGCGAGCAAAAGTCATCGAATCAATTTTCAGTGAGCGTATTCGGTTGATGTGCTCGCGTTGAGACGAGCCCAGTTTTGAGTATGTGTGTGTGTGTATGTGTGAATTTCTCATTCGGTTTTGTCCAGATGACCGATAAATATTATTTATTCAGAATGGCATGAATATTGTGTGTCGTGATGTGTCGCCAGTTTTCATACCATTTCATTCTCTGGCACATTTGAATTTATTAATTTTACACAAATTTATATTCGCAGTTACTACATCATATGCTGCGTAAATGTAGAAGCACCCAATTTAGAATGCGACGCACGAATTCGAAATATGGCTGTGGTTCTCATGTGAGAAAAGAAAAAAACCCAAAATTTCATAAGTTTGCCGCACGGTGACAGAAGAAAAAAAGCAAATCGTGTTATTATTTATGAAATGCGCAAAGAAATTCGTTAAGTTAGTTCCGTGTTCGCATGGCGCTCCATGGAATTCAATCAAAACAAATGAAGTCATCATCATCTTTTTGTGTTCGTCGTTGTCGCAACTGAATTGTAAACTACGAAAGCGATTATTTGATACCGTTATTGATCCAGTTTGAACAAAATAAAAGAACTTAAGAACTAACCGTTCGAATTGTTTGTAATCGAATCATTAATAATATTTAGAGTCAAAAAGAAATTGAATCAACGCGGCGATTTCTTTAAATTTCACCGTGCAGACGGCGAAATGATTAATGGAACTTGATTTTGGGATAGTCATGCGACAAATTAACTTCATATAACACCATTGTTGTTGTTTTTTTTTTTTGAGGCGCAAATGTTCTGAACCGATCAGTTGATCTAAAGTGGTAGTCAACATGCATTTAATACGCGGCGATTGAGTCATTAATCATTTTACAAAGGTGCAAACAGTTTGATCTCACTTTGATCCATTATATGGAGAGAGCGATAGAGACCGTGTAAAAGAGAGTAAGAGAGTGAGAAAGACAGAGAGGGAGAGCAAAATTATCGATTAAAATCCGGCATATAAAATGGGGTTAAACACTGTCATTTCGAAAAGTGAAATCACTACGGCACTAAATCCATATGTAAATATTCGATATAATCCAAATAAAAAAAAAAAAACCATAATCAAGGCTTTTTTTGCGCCAGAAGTAAAAAAGAATGCATTTAATTAACGGCTAATTGTTGCTTGTGTGCTCAAGCTGGAAAATATTCATTAATTTTACTTTCGCGTTCATTTACAATAAGGGTTAGCTGCGACGACGACGGCGACAAACCGTGTGGTTTGACAAATGATATTGCACATTTCGAAATTGATATTCGAAGCAACAGCGAACGAACAAACTCCGATTCTAATACAATGCGATCAATTTCGGAGCGAGCGAATAAAAGTGAGCTCAAATCAATTTCGGGCACGTCACGAATCAGGATTTCTATCGCCTCTATTTGAATAAATACTTATAAAAAAAACCTTTTTGGACTGCGAACCGAATTCAAACAGTTCCAATTTTTTGTTTGTTAAATGATACCAATGAAATTAGGCGCTTGACAGACAATAACAAATAAAACGCAACCGAATATTGCAATTGTACACATTTGGAATATTAATTTTGTCAATCTTTCATTTGTTGAGGCTTTGGTGTATATCAACAACAGCAACGACAATAGTCATGGTAAAAAAAAAAGTAGCAGGCGATAAACAGAGTGTTTTTTTTGACAGCCACCTTACTGAATTCACTGAAATTAATGACAATATTCAATGCATATGAATGCAATCAGCCACAAAAACTCGGCAACGAATTTAAATTTAAACTCGCAATTAAACAAAGGAATAAGTAAAATGAAGTGAAAAAAAAACAAACAAATCCAATGAATATTCAATTCTCTCATAGAAATGAGTTCATAAAGATAAATTTATCAAACGTTTGTTCGCTCATAAAATCGTGCAATGGAAAAATTCGACTTTCTGCTTTGGTACTACGATTTGAGCTACGGTTTTTTCAACTAATTTTGGTTTCGACGTAATTTCATATGCGAAACAAGTAGGCAATTATCCTTAAAAAATGTCAAAGTGGAAGTAGAACTTTTCTTTGGAACTTTCATTTCATATAGAAAATGAAGAAATAGACTTCTTCATGGACTTTCTTCTCAGGTTTTTTTTTGTGTGGATTTTTTTTGTTGACTTTTGCGGTCATTTATTGATTATTTTTTCATTCCAAATAATTTTTTTCCCTAAGAAAAAAAAATACCTTTCACAATCATCTCAACGAAAACATATTCCTCGTCGTGTCATGTGTCTTTGTTTTGCTTTTGCAAGTTCCTTTTTCGTCGATAGCAGTGTTTATTCAAAGGTTCTGTTTTCCCACGAACAAAGTGCTAAGAAACTGACACCAGTGTGATTTACGCGTTCAGCGCGAGCGTTGTGTCGTGTCGATAAACTTGATCCTATCTCGCACACATGAAAATCGATTACCGGTTATTCGAATTCAGAGCTCTTTCAGCTCACACATGCAAAACACGCCGTTGCTGCCTATATTTCGTTGTTTGCAAGTGTGCGAAAAACAAAGCTTCGAAATCGATCGAAATAGAAAACAGCAACCGACGATTTCCCCTGTAATTCGACTCTTACATTGCTCTGCCACGTAGTTACCCTTCGATCTGTTGAACCTCCACGGAAAACGTTCATATTATCCAATAAAATTAAGTTTGAGTAAATAAGGTCGAATTTGAGCCGAAATCAATTTTTCAATTATGAAAATGTTGAAAAAAAAAATGAAGGAATTTTCATTTTTATCAAAATTCGACAATTTTGAACTAAATCAAATGATTTATAAACGTAATTCGTACTAACAAATTTTCGCTCTCCGAAATTCGATTCTAATTAAAATCCATGTGAAACGAAACAAATAGTGTCTTATCAAAATTGTCTCTAGAAATTTTCAACCGTATTCCAATACTTTTACTACGAAGAAGAAGAAGACGACGACGAAGAATAGGAAACTCGATTCGATAAACCATCGGAAAAAAGCTCTCGATTAATTGTATGTTCCGTTTGGAGCATATTGTTCTAGCCTTGGATTCGAAACCATATTCCAGTAGCTTCAATAATAACTCCGCCTTTAAAATGTCAGAATGTTATCAAAACATAGAACATAGCAGTTGAACATGGGCAAAGAATAAAAATGAAAAAAAAGCGAATGGGAAAAAATACACGTACGAAAGAATGGGATCGGGGCGAAGGAAGCGGGAGAAAAAAAAACGAGTCCGTATGAAACGCGCAAAATTTACGAATACATGCGAGAGGACGATGCGAGGAATAAAGAAGAAGCGACAGCCGCAGCAGCAGCAGAATAAGAAGTATACACACAGCACACACAGTACACGGAATATCTCTCGATGGCGATATAATATAACTAGAAAAAGAATAGCCCCACTTTATGGTGTATGCGCGTGATTCAAATTGCACAGTGTTGGAAGTTGTTCCTAGTGTGTGTGTGTGAGTTTTCGAGTCCCAATGAAAATGTTCTAAGATGCGATGGTAGTTCGCACCCAGAGTATGCTATATAAAGTGCAAAAACGGCAAGCACCAAGAGCGTATCGGTGTGTTCCTCTCTGCCAATGTATGCGTTAGTATTTCTCCAACTTTGGAGCGAATACCGTTTGGGTATGTGTAGCATGATATTGGTGTTGGTAACCGTGGTCTGTGCACCCATTGCACGCTTCGTCATGTATCCGAACGCAGTGGTTCCCATTGAATATGCTTATCGAAATCGCGTCTAAATTCACAGAGCATTTGTGTTCTTCGGCAATGTCAAAACTTTTCGACGGCGATGCTTTCGTCGTGCGTTTTTCTTTCATTCGCTCATTACAGTCTTGGCAATTTTCATCACACGGTGTGTGCGTGCAATGCATTTGTATGTGTGACGCGCGCGATATGTGTTCGCAGAGCGAGAGAAAAGCCTTTTGGCTTTGGTGTGTTGATGCTTCTTGCTTTGATGTATGCGTTTGTTGTTCTCTCGGCGCAAAAATCTTTAAATCCAGCGAAAAATGTATGCGATGAGAAATCACCGAAAGCGCACGGGCACTACGAATCGTGAACACAGAGAAAAACAATCGACGGCACAAAAAAAAACGCAACTATCCAACAGAAACGAGTGGCAATAAGAGCAGTAACAACGTACATTTTCTTATTTATTTATTTTTTTTCCTTCGTATAATTCGCCGTTTTCGACAATCGTCGTCGCAACGTAAGATGTTGATGGTTAGGTGCACACACGGTGTGTCCCGTTTGCCGTCAATGTATGAGTTTTCGATACTGACGTTGATATCTATGTGGTGATTTTGCTATTTTGTTTTCAACAAACGGCGAGAAGGTTGTTGTTGTTGGTGCTGCGTTTTTTTTTCGTCTTCTTCAATTCAATTCGTACCGTTTTACCGTTTCGGTTCTTAGTTCTTGGCATTCGGTGCAAATGCGTACGCGTACATACGGCTTCGAGAGCGATGAGTAGTGTGTGTATTGCCTGAATTATACGTTCAGCTCTGCTATCGACCGACCGACAACGCCACACCGTCGTTTATGATCGAACTGGAAATTTTTTATTGTGTTTATTGTTGTGTGAATTTGGAGCGAATATACACAATATATTTGTTGGATCGCGTCTATTCGCTTTGTCGACTTGTTTTTTGTGTGTTGTTGTTGCGTTTGTTCTTGTGCTGACCGGGCTTTGAAAAGTGTTCATTCGTCGAGGATTATTGAAAATATAGATTTTTATAAACATTTCAAATCAGAAGAAGAGACTTAAAACAGTTTTATTACCCGTTTTTTTCTGAGTTTTGGTCGTGGTAGTCTCTTGTGTGGTGATTTTGTGTGCTTTGATTCTAAACTTTTGAATGTGTCGGCCTAAGAATTTACATCGATGATTCTACGATTCAATATTCAGGGTAGGAAAAAAATCAGTTAAAAAAATTGGTTGCGTGCAAAAGTGTCAATTCGTGCTCAAAATTGGATCGATGATGATGTAATACAGGGCAAGAATATCGTCAAAAAAAAGCCCAAGTAGTGTACACACAGCATCAAGTGATACAAACAAACGTTGAAAATCGCAAGGCGACACCACAACACGAAACCATTCACGTAAGACAGAGACGCAAGGTTTAACTGTAATCGATTCGGGGCTGCTTTTTTTCGATGTGTTGCCATTTTTATTGAAATGCGATAAAAAAAAAACCGAGTACGAAAGAAGAATTGAAAGCGTATAAAAAAGGAAAACCTTTGCACATGCCGATATCAATTCAATCAGTCGTTGAAGGATATCGGATCCACATTGACGGATTTTTCTCGTTTTCCTTTTTCGGTGCGCGCTCCTCAGTTCATCGTTCTTTTTTTTGCTTGCTTTTTGTTCATTGTGCCTCAGTTCATCGGTTTTCGGAATAAGTTTATTGTGAACTAAGGGTTAAAACGGACGTTTCCATAAAAGAGTAAAGAAAAGAGAGAAGAAGTTTTTGTTGAGTGAAAATTCCATTTTGGTTTCGAGACGCATTGTTTTTCCTCGGTTCAAAGATTGGTGAATGCTAACGAACGTATCAGTTAAATTAACAATGTTGAAGTTTTGATTAAAACCAGCAGACAATGTTGCTAGTTCCATTAATTAAAGTGATATCAACATCAAATCGCAGCGAATGACTTTCTTGATATTCTTTCGGGCCAAAGTGAATTGAGTCGCTGTACACACTAACACACACATATACGCGCGCGCACCAACGACCAACTATTATGTCCAGACGAAAACAACTGCGACCATTCAAAGTACAAGATGACGATGATGACAGCAATGCAAAGCAAAACAAGAGTGCAGATAACGGTCTTTCGACTTCGTCAAATGGTCACAGTACCTATGAAGCGCATACATCCAGTAAGTTTGATTTGGAATATTTACTCTACCTGTTTATGACCACGGGCAATCGAACTATTCGGTTTTTCCCAATCGAAAATTACTCGAAAACCGGTCGGAAGTGACGATAAAGCGCATTTATTTGATAAATATGATTTGTTAATTCAACAAATTTGGTTCACTTTAGAGACATTTTGTCTCTGAACAGAGTGTTTGTTGACATTTTTGCCCTGAACATTTGTATTTTATTGAAGTTATTTGGATTTTTTCGATTAACGATGAATCAATGATTCATTGAATCATCGTTTATAATTTGATTTTGACTAATTTCTATCTCAAACAAAAACATCGACTTGAAAGTCGAAAAAGAATTCATTTTCTGTTGAATTCTTTGTATTTTGAGTGACAAACTCGCTATTTCTTTCGAAAACCTCCTTACTTTCTGTGCATAAATGGTCAATTTAAAAGTCTTTGATGTTACCTCATCATCTACTGGAGAAAAAAAAACCCGTCGAAAAAGCAATTAAACTGGAAAATTGCGTTTCCTGCTTCAAAAAAGTGTACTAATCACGTGCTCCATAATGAAACTGCCATTTGAAGTGTGCTTTACAATCACCTTAATTTATAAATCAAAGTAAATTACTACAAAACCGAGTTTTTTCGTACATTGTTTCCAAAATTGGTGGCTTAAAAAAAGGAATGTGCGAATGTCATTCGATCGACTAATTTCCAAATGGAATTCAAATTAAGTTAAATTTTGGTTGGAAAGAAAATGCTAGACAAAAAAAATTAGGAGCACAAATCAAAAGTGGAATAAAATGTAAAGCAGAATGGTGGACAGCGTTTGGGTACCAATTAAAAATCACCGAAAATGTGTGAAATGAACGGAATAAAAAAAAAGTAGCAATTTGACAACGGAAGCGTGGCAAAAGAGTAACAACGACAGAAAAAAATGGTTTCTTTCTTTCTTTTGTTGTGGTGGTGCTGGCGATCGATAAAAGTTATGTATATGAGGAAACGAAAAATGTTCGAATTGTAGATTGGGACCGATGCAGAAGACAATGCCGGAAAGAAAAAACTTAAATATATTTAATTGAAATTAAAGTAATAGGTTTTTTTTCTGTCGTGGTCGTTGGTCTGGTGTGCCACAAATGTAGTAAAATATATTAAATCGAATGCATAATTTAAAATGAATTATTTTTACGTTGTATTTTGTATATGGCGCCATGAACTGCACGTAATTGGCTTAGCTTTTACCATTTGCGTATGATTTTTCGATGTGACTGAAACAGATGAGAGAGAAAAAAGAATCAAACAACAACAATAACAACAACAACAACAGCGTCTCAAGCACACACAAAAAAAGAAACAATTTATATCAAATGACGATTTAGGCAGGAGGGAAAAAAAGTGGAGAGAAATCTTTATTCTCTTTTGTAATGTGTGTTTGTTTTTGTTCACTTCTCAATGCTGGCTGCAAAATTTCATTCGGTAGAACGAAGAAGAGCCCGAACGACGATGAAATGAAGAAAAGAAACATTCTGTGTGTCGTCATGTAGATCACCGTTTGCTTTAATCACTATTTTGCAAATGCATCGAGCACTGTATGTGAATTCGGTGTGTGCTCATGTCGTTTTTTTTGCCCATTCGTTCTTTCTCTCTCGCTCGGGGCTCGCGACCAGACATACAAGTGAATAAAATAAAAACAAAAGCAATACACACATAGGGAGAGATACACACTCGCTGGCAAAACATTCGCAACAAACGACATCGTATGCATATTTATTTTGTCGATATTCAATGAGAAATAAAAATTCAACTAATTGGACATGTTTTCTTTTAAATAATATCGATTTAAGAAGAAACTTTTGCAGCAGCAGCTATAACAACGGCTGTGTGGAGCAACAGCGGCAGCAGCAGCAGCAGCAGCAGCGACAACGGACAGTCGTTCGTCTCTCGTTGGCTGCAACGGAACGAAACGGATAACAGAGATATGCAGCAAAAGAGGCAGAGAAAAATATAAGCGCGCGCGCATTTGCACTAACATAAACAGTGTACGAAAGTAACCGGGCTTCGAGGTAATCGCCATCGATCAGTGCAGACGCAAAACGAGAAAATACAACACGAAAGAGACAGCCAATGCAACAATCACAACAGCCCAACAACAACCGAAATCAAATGTGTGCATATTTCATTTGTATGTTATATTTTCAACGCACTCCGGCGATTCCCTCAATGGCCACTTTTATTCACTTATTCGCATTTGCACAATGAATCAATGTACCTGTGCGCGCGCGTACCGATCAGGCTCTCTTTCATCGTCATCATCATCATCGTCGTTGTTTGGGGCACCGGCGAAAAGGCGATATTGTTCCAGTGCAATAATCCCACGGCCGGCTGTTGTCAATATGTATGCATTTTTTTTTGCATATCGCAATGAACGTCGTCGGCACACACGGACACGAAGCGAACCTCTCATTCCGAATGCCTTAATCAAAAATATCAACGAAATAAACGAAAATGAAAATTTATTTGTTTGCATGCGACTGCGTTGTTTGCTCCATCTTTTTCTTCACAACTTTGTTTCTTTTCTTTCGTTTTTGTTCAACCAGCGTGGCTTTTGCAAAGAATCAGAAGAGAAAAAAAACGAAGAAGAAATAGAAGAAAACGCTTGGCATGCAAATTGAAAACTGGAATCGACCATATGCACACACCAAACTAGCCATATATTTGATCAGATATTGACGCAGTCCTCATCGATTCTTTCAGATTCGCTATTGCAAGTGCAACCAGAGCCAAAAGAAATAGAGAAATTTGAATGTTATCTTTGGGTGTTTTTTGCTTGCCTTCTTGTCTTCACCGAGCAGAACTCAAGTGGTGTTTTGTGACCTGCCTGTGTGTGTATAGTTTAATTTTCAAATTCTCTTTCGCATATTCTACGCTGCGTCGTGGTAACCGTGCTAATCACACTATTTTCCGTAGGGTCTAAATGTCACCTTTCTCAATTATTTATTCGTTGCTCTCAAAAAATCGACTTCGCCGAACCAACCGAACGAAATTCCATCCGAATCGTTCATATCGTTTATTTGCATTTGCAAACGTGTACACGGAATCGATTCTGTAGCATGCGTGTAGCTCAGCTCTTCGTCATGTACGGCCCCGTTTAATTAATTCATTCGAACTCAGCGAAAAACGAAGTCACAAATAAAATATTTTCGCAGGCGATCGAGAGTCAATAAAATGTTAATCGGCTATCGAGAGAGGATGGAACGCATTGGTGTTATGGCTTTAAAGGTTATTCCGTTTTCTCTCTCTCTCTCTCGCTGTTTCATTCATCTCACACACACACATACAGGCCAGCCGATCCGAAGGACGCATTGTTTATGATAGAGAAGCGATTTTCAAAAACCGAAAGGCTACTGGTTTTTCGCTTCGTTTCGTATGATTCGATCTTTATTTATTCGATCGTTCTGCTTTTCGAAAGTACAATGCGTACGGTTTTTCGGGCCGAAGCATACAGCAAATTCGACTTCTACCGTTTTTTTTTCCATTTAAGAATCGTGTGCTGAAAGAAAAAAACGCAATCCAATCGAATATGAATGGGTTTTTACTGCCACGGCTGCCCACTATTTATTGCCAATTTAGAGCACTTTTGTTATTATTATATAGTACGCCTTCGTCTCTTTCATATGTATTACTTACTACTCGCTGGTTACAAACATAATGATGAAAAAAAAACTACACCAAAATAAAAATAAAGTCATCATTATGATTGTTAATGCTTTCACATGTGTATGTGTATGTGTAGTAATAACAATTGGCAAACAAACGTCTAAATAATTCGTTACACGTAACGTAATAATGATAGAGTCGCACAATACCTTCTTCTTCTTTTAGCTGGCCGGCAATCGCCCAAATGGCATTGTTTACGCATTTACCCATTTAAAAAACCAACCGTTGTCAAAAACCTGAATTGCACGCATTTTTTTCCATTGGCATTTTTCTGATTGTTCTGGCATTGTTATTGTTGTTTTTGTTTTCAATGAAAAGTGAAAACTTTGAACCGAATTACGGGCAAATGCAAACGGTAATTGATAAAATGTGCACAAATACTGGGTTTGATATCAATGTTCGTTAGTTGAATCAATTGCGGTTTTTAGGTGAGTGTGTGCTGCTCTGATCAGCAGCGTTCTATGGTTGACTGTAACACGTGGGATCAAGTGGTTTTTCGATGCATTCCGAGCACAAAGTAATGCACGAGACTCGATTACAATCAAATACAAAATAATGTTTGAATAGAAAATTAACAAAATCAACGAAATACCAGCTCAAATTCGGAAACACAAACGAGAAATGGAGAAACGAGCGCAGATTAAGCATAAATTCAGTAATAGTATGAATGAGTAAGCAGAAATGTGTTATTTTTCAAGAGAAATAAGTTGAAACTCCAGTTTAAGTGGAGCTCATGAGAGAGAGAGTGAAAATTTACTTGAATTAAGCCAAAATATGCTGAAAACAAGGCAAATATGAACAAAAACTACGCAACACCAGTAAATATAACAAATTTATGCATTGAATTTCGCATTCTCAACTACAGAGCACACAAAAAACAGGCATTTTCAAAGGTTAAATAGGAAAAATCAACTGTATGAACCATATTTTGATTGCGTAGTTTATGTTGACTGCCGGTAATTTGGTTATATTTGGTTCGATGCGATACCCGATTGAGAAGTCAACTATGATTTCTCTAATGAATTGCATTTCAATTCACCACATCAATTGGTGGAACAAGCCACGCGTTTTCTTCAAACGCGTCGTTCAGTCTCTCTCTCTCTCTCTCTCTCTCTCTCTCTCTCTATCTCTCCGCCTCTACCTCTCTTTCTCTCTCTGTCACTTTGGTCACAAACGTTCCGAGAGCACCAAATCGATAGCGCACAGCAAATAAAGACATTTAAATTCGGTTTTACTTCGACAATTTGTGCCAATACACATCCCACTCACGCACAATCTCTCTGTTTCTA